AGACAACTAGTGCAAAGAATGTACTTATATATGTTTTATTTCTCATATAGTATTTCAGTGCATTTAAGAAGACAAAATCGGGCATTGGAGATGTTAACCCATCCAGCCAAATACCCAACGAAATAATCTGCCTAAAGGAGTACGTCTTCTACACCAGCAGTTCTGCCCGAACACATTGCATCGGCATACATCCTCTTCACAGCATTCCCTTGCCCATGTACGACAACTTTTAACTTTGCATTTGCTAAAGATATTAAAATAGTGAATTAAAAGAAAGTATTCCATTGTTGAAACGTATTGTTACGAATTTGGTATTTAAAAAGTTAATGTTAGTTCAATTATAAATTAAATGGTTTTATTTCTCGCGCAGTGCAGCGCGTGACGAATATTAAAAAAGCTAAGCCGGAAATTGCAATACAAAGCGCGTGCTTAATAAATAAATATCTCTTTTTGATTCGAGAAAGTACTGAAAATTCTAGCGCGTGATTTTAAAAAATGTTATAAAAAAGGTATTATTTTGTTATTTTTGTTGTTGTTTAAAATCTCTTGTTAATTGTAGCGATCGCGATTAGCGTTCTATACTATTTTGAATTACGTTATATTGACATTTAGCCTTATAAATACTACTGTGAGATTTGTAATACTGCATGATAATTGAGAAATTTAAAGCTTTTTGTTGTGTATAAAAATTTTTGTTCATTTTTCTCGGACTGTGCTTCATTCATAAGAACCCATACGCACGCAAAATTTTTGGTGTCAGATGGATTTGAATGCCATCACAAGAGCGATGGAAGAGCAGTTTCAAAGCTGATATCAGCCTTGCTTCATTTAAGAGGAATGAAATGAAATTTGGGCCAAGATTCCGTAAAGGAGAGAGAGATCCGTAAAGGAATGGAGCCGTTTCACGAAAGTTGGAAGCTGATCAGTAACTTTTAAAGAAGAATAAAAGCTGTACAGAAAAGATTGAAGCAGGTCAGACGATGAAAAGAGAATAACCTCGTAGAAAATAATTTGAGCTATGGAAGACAGAATAGGAGCGTCCGAAATAAAGTCGGGAAATTGAGAAAAGGTTTCTTCTGTCAAGATAAATAGAAGAGTTGGCTGTGGGCAACGAGTCGAAGGAGAGTTCGGCTTCAACAAATGAAGAAAGAGTTCTGCTTTAACAACAATTTGATAGGTTTCGCTGCCGTCGCAAAGAAGTTGACAGCCTAAGAAGTGCATAGCGACGGTAGAACATTCTGAGGGTTTTATTCTTACCGATGCTTGCTCGTCCATCTCTGAAGTTATCCACATATGAGGGAAACATCCTGAAGTGTATAAAACACAATTTTCTATCGTTCGGATGCGAATAGATGGGATCCAACTAGGCCTCATCTCGACGCTTCTCTGAGAGCAACCGCGGATATCCGCAGACGCTTCCAGCAAACAAAGATTTGACTTCGAGCTCTATCCCGCTGAGCTGCGCTTGGCGAGAATGTTTAAAAGACTACAGCAGTGTCATTAATTCCGTCACAAAGCCCACCGAATCACTCCAGAACTCGCCACGGATGTAAAGCTTCCCCCGCCTTACGGAGTCCCAGAGAAAAGGGAATCCTGTCCCTGCAGTATTTCATCGATGCATCCGGGACCCTGAAATACAGAAAGCACTGCGAATGGTGGATGTTAAAAGATTTGAAAAGCGCTCTGTTGTACGCCATGAAGTTCGAGGAAGCACAGAAAGCAACTAGTATAGATCGCTACCCAGTCAGAGCTGTGAGAGTCCACGAGCCAGTGGATCAACTGATGGCTCGTTTAGATGATTTATCTTGATAATTTGACGCTTTGATACGGAGTAGGAGCGAGAACAAAGTGGATCTAAGGTTGAGATGTGGGAGGGAGGTCACTAAGACTATTGCAGAACGCCCCAGGTACGGAATATAAAGCGATATTTTACCAACAATCAGTGCTTGAGCGGAACAGAGTGAAAGAAACTATTCTAAAGTGCTGGAACTGCGAGTGAAGGCCACATACAAGAAATCAAACACCCCGAGTCCGAAAATAAGACCTTCCCAGCAACGACGCAGTAACAAATTGTGCATTGAGGAACAAGGTGCCAATAGGAAAAACCTTGTTTTAAAGCGCTTAAAATTTATACAGTGAGTGGCAACAGTACGGAATGTCCTTAATGGGAATATCGATGGAGTTCTTGCAATATGATTATTGACACAGGAGCTAATGTTTACCATCATTAGGAAAGATTTAGTGAACAGTTTAAAGATAAACTTATTTGGAAGCCATCCTGTGTTACCCTTCAGACTGTGTCTGGTGACAAGATTGAGATAGCTGGGAAGTTATACGTGAGCATCACTTTTGGAAGTGCCGCCTACCACCACGCGGCTTATGTGGAGAATATTACAGATCCATGCATACTCGGATTGGACATTTTAATCGGATTGGACAATTTTTCCTTAGACTTCAAAAACAACAAAATGCTTTCAGCATTTGGTGACATGACTGTCCATCATCAGAAGAGATCCTCACCTAGAAATGCGAACGCCTTGTCTGAACGACCTAGCTCGGGAAGCCGCCGAAATCATGCTAGGGTCAAAACGAAACGCAAGACTACCAGCTATTCTCCATCTCAGAAGCTCTCCGGTCGAGACCTTCGTCTGTCTTATGACCGCCTGTTTGATCGCCATACGGATGCGCCTCATCGCCTGAGGAACACATCCAACCCAGGCCCGGTTTGGGGATGCACCGTTCTGCACGAAAGCGAGTCAATTGGCGACGGAGAAAATGAAAACCAATGCGACACAAGAGCTACTAGACATAGATCCACAAGGAGAAAGGTGTGGTTGGGAACCCGATTCAACGAAGGACTGAGTTCTAAATTACAGTCACCTTGGATGGTCATATACAGTGCTGAACAGACTGAATGACGTCGTGGTTCGGATCCGATCCGAAAGTCTTCGAACTCTAAACCTAAAGTCATTTATTACGACAGGTTAGCTCATTACTATGGCCATAGTACGTGTAAATAATTGTAAATAGTGCAAGAACATGGTCCTTTCTGTTTCTAAATGTGTATTTAGTATTTGATAGTTTGGTATTTATTTGTTTTTATTTAGTATTTGATAGCATTTGATTTGTTTCATTTATTGTTTTTGTTTATTATTGTAATGTAATGCTTGTTATTGCATTTATGCCACAGTGTAAGTTTGGGTTCCTGTCCAGGGATTGTACTGCCCGGGTCGTGCAGTCATTGGGAAGGGGGCTGTGTTACGGATTTGGTATTTAAAAAAGCTTAATGTTAGTTAAATTGTAAATTAAATACTTTTATTTCCCGCTCAATGCAGCGCACAATGAAGCGCGTGACGAATATTAAAAGAAAGCTAACCCAGAAAATTGAAAATACAAGAGCGCGTGCATTTAACATTTAATAAATATCTCTTTTTGATTTCGAGAAAGTACTGGAAAATTCTAGCGCGTGATTTTAAAAAATGTTATAAAAGGAAGAAAACATCTCAGTTTGTAGTAGTTGCTTAGTTTGTTGTTGTTTAGAAAACTGCTCTTGTTAATTGTAGCGAATTCGCGGATTAGCGTTCTATAGCTATTTTGAATTACGTTATATTGGACATTTGAGCAGTTAAAATATAACTACTGTGAGATATTGTAATACTGCATGATAATTTGAGAAAATTTAAGCATTTTTGTTGTGATAATAATAAATTTTTGTTCATTTTTCCTCGGACTTGTGCATTCATTTCATAACGAACCCATACGCACGTATTATACAATCATTGCACAATTTGAATCACTGAAAATATTATATTTTGCACAACAAATTATTTATTTTATATTTGTATGGATTTAATGTTGCTGGTTCATAGGTATTATGATAAGCAGGCTGAAAAAAGGAGAAAACTGGAACAGAAATCGCCTTTCTAAATTTTCAATCCACTTTTGAGGCAAGAGGAAGCAATCTCCTCCTCAGAAGAAAAACTCGATTTCAAATTTTGAAGGGAGCTGATATTATTTATTATAAGGTATCATTTTATGATGTTTTTCAGGTTCTAAACTGGATTTTAATTAAATCAGACTACAGTTTTTAAAAAATTAAATGACTACAATTTTTTTAATGCATCTTCATGTTTTTTCAGAAACAACATGCAGTTGGAAAGAACAAGCTTTAGCTCCCGAGCAAGTGATTACACTTCGTGGTGTCATTCTAAGGTTACTTAATTTCCTCAATCCTTCACCTTGTGATTTCCTTCTGTAGGGCTACCTGAAGGTAAAGTTTATTAAGGAAGGCCGATGACAACCAATAAACTGAAAAATGTTAACAGAAGTGTTAATCCACAAGGACAACACTATGGAGAATTTATATTTCACTAACGTAATGCTACTTAATTTACGACTTCATTTTCTACCTCCTTCTGCCATGGGATTTGCTCACTCCGGAATTTATGTATATTTGTATGGGAAACAGTTTTACGATACGTTTAGAAGAATTAAGATGTATAGCAGTTTTTTGCTTCTAGCCACTGCTGTCTTGTAAAGTAAAGTGGTACCTGTTGGTGCCTCCAAATCTGGTTTCGAGTTGAATGCTGTAGTGCGCAAGGATAGATTCAGATTTGGTAAACGATGCGCTTGAATTCTGTCGCGCCTCAACTTTAATTTAGATTTAATTATTGAAATTATAGCAAATGTGAAAGAAGCTTGTATTTTAAGCCATGCCCAGCTGGTTGGTACTTCTGTATATTTTAATTTCACCCATAATAAATGCTGAGGTAGAATAAATTTAATGTGATTTTACTTATTTGCCTGTTTGTTTAGAAACAGAAGTTTTGATGGTGATAATTCATCTTCTAGAACAGTGATGGCGAACCTATGGCATGGATGCCATAGTCGGCACGCAGAGCCTCATCAGCAGGCACGCGACTAAAATATTACTTCCTTAATCAATAATTACAATAAAATGATACTATGTAACTTAAATAAGTGTTTTAGCCTGTTACTCAATGTGCTTGGACGAAAGCACAGATATAAATAACCATGCAAAGCTAGTAATAATTTTACGTTATGCTGTTAGTGATACGATGAGAGAAGAGCTGGTTAAATTGGCATCTTTCCCCGAAAGAACACAAGGAATAGATATTTACAATGCTGTGGTGGAAGCTTTTTTGCAACAAGGCATAAGACCAGAAAAAGTAGTTTCAATTACTACTGATGGTGCGTCTTGCATGTTGGGAACAGCATCTGGTTTCATACAGTTCTTCGTTAAAGAATCAAAACATCCAGTTATTCAGTTTCATTGTCTCATTCACCCAGGAGCTCTTTGTGCCAGGAAAAGTTTCAAAATATTAGACGATATTCTCAAAGATGTCACCAAAATGGTGAATTACATCAATGGCTCGAGCTCTTAGTTGTCGACAGTTTCAAGCACTTCTTGATGAGGTTCAAGCACAGTGTAACACTTTTCTTATGTACAATAATGTCCAATAGTTGAGCAGAGAACGAGTTTTAGAGAGATTTATAAGCTGATTTTAAGAAAGTAGGCTATTTTTGAATGAAAGAATACAGGAATATCCACAGCTGACTGATATTTTGCACAAAAATTGCTTATTTTATATTTGTATGGATTTACAACGTTGTGTTTTTTACATATTTTACACAACACTTCAATGTACTGAACAAGCAACTGCAAGGCTTGGGAAAAACGGCAGAAAGGTTGTTTTGCGATATAAAAACATTTGCATGAAAACTGCATGTTTTCGAAAGGGATCTTGCAAGTGGGCAGCTGAAATATTTTCCAAATCTAAAGATGCATCTAGAAAATGCTACACAATTTGCACACAATCATTCAAGTCACGAAGAAATCTACAAGGAATTTTCGAGTAAGGTAGCAGCTGCAAAGGAGAACTTTAATGACAGATTTCTACAGTTTCGTCAGATGGAAACAACCATGTGTTTTCTTACTTCTCCAGATAAATCTAAGTTTGAAGAACTTGATCTTTCTTGCTTACAATGGTTAGATCTTGAAAATCTGGAAATGGAGCTATTGGAATTTCAAGAAGCTCTACGTGGAAAAGAATATTCTCTGATTTACATGCAACACTTAAGAAGATGAAGTATAAAGAAATCGCACAGGACAGCACAATTGATAGTTATGAAAATGAAATCCTTAAAGCGTGAAATTCTCTCCCAAATAAGTTTAAATCAATGAAACCACTTGAGGGTGCCATTCTTACTTTATTTCGATCATCTTATAAGAGTGAACAGCCAAATAGGTTCGCCACCATTGTCCTAGAATATGCACAACAGCTGTTACTGCAAAATAATAAAAACTCCGTCTCCCTATCTGCCTCGTAACCTTGGGAATAACAAATGCGGCATATGTAAATTAGTAGCTTTTTTTTTTTTTTTTTTTTTTTTTTTTTTTTTTTTTTTTTTTTTGGCTATGTTAAAAATCAGCATAATAGCTGAGACAGGTACATTGAAAAGCTGGCATATGCGCTGTGGTCAGCAAAAAGCGAGATTACTGATAAAACAATAAAGCTACTTTTAATTCGAAAAATCATCATAACCCTAAATAAATTATTTTATGTGCATGAAACGAAGACAGAATTCAGGCAAAAAGATGTTCAACAGCTAATTGATGAGGCACTGAAAACTTCGAATAAGACGAAGTTAAAGCAAAAATTATATTATGCAAAATTAAAATATATTATGATAAAAGGCACTGAGAAGGCGATCTGAAAGTTCGAGGATAAAGTGTTACAAATAAAACACACACTTTTGTAGATGCATAAGCAAGAAGACGGGCCATATGTAATCATGAATTTAACAAGAAATACAGTGCTTTTCCAGAACAAGGTGGGACAGATGATTTCCATAAATGTGGACCAGCTGGGGCTCTATAATTGTGGACCATCGGGTATATCACGTTTATGGTATCGTTTATGGAATCTATTTTACAATAGACGTCGTATACTCGTTTTGGAGGAAATGGGACTTAAAACAGTACAAAACGCAAGGAAATGTTCCCTAGAAGGATGTGACCCCAAGTCTGAAGAAATTCTGTTAAGAAATTTGAGGAAGAGGGTTTATCCGGTTAATGAAATAAGGCAGATGAATAGCAAGAGGATGGTGAACAGACCCCAGTAGTAAAACGACCGAAGAAAAATTGATGTAGGATCAGATTCGAGATCTTTGTAATCAACAAATAGCTCGCGGCAACAACGAGACATCACCTAAAGGAGAAACTAGAAATTAGGGAAATGCCTTCATTTCTATAGAAAATGTAAGGCCTGAAAATGAGCTTTTTCAGACTAAAGAGACACTTTCTGCTTTTCGAAATTTCATTCTAAATTTAGATTATTGAGTTCTCATTATTTTAATGCTTTTTATTTTATTTTTATTTTACTTATTTTTTGTTTATTATTTTAACTTATTTATTGTTATTTAAAATTTTTTACTCATTTGCAGTGCCATTGTACATTTGTTTATTTTGTTAGTACTATAACTTACTTGTGTAAGTTTCGTGGTATACTTTGCGGAATACGAGGAATTAGAGGACACACACACACACGAAAAAAAAATTGTAATATTTAGCTTAGCGTTCAGTTGTTAAACTGGAATATAAATGTGGAGATCAAATTACAGTTGTTATCAATTTTAAGGATTCTTTTCATAGTTTGTGATTTGTATCATATTCAATATATGGCACACGTTTGCTATCAAACCACATTGCAAGAAAGATACAAAATCATATTTTGTCCCCTTTCTCGCCCTGGCTGTATTTTGTGAGCAAAGAGACGATTTGAATTCTAGAAAGAAGGCAATGAATTCAAAAGACGGTAACTATTAACAACTGCAATAGCATAAAAATTCCATGTCTAGCGATAGTGATGCTACGTGATCAATAAACTTAAACACTAAATTTTATATACATTATAAGGAACTTGTTTCCTCCTTTCAGCATGTCTTCGTGGTATAACTGGATGGTTTTCTCCATGTGTGACGAACGTGAAATCGAGCGTGGCCTTCGAGATTAGATGGCCTGGTCAGCAGCAGAATCACGTGATTTGACGTCACGTAAGGCGTCTGAACTTTCACCCTTCGCACTGCATTGTATGGACACTGCTAGCGAAGACTTCTTATTACGTTGATTGCGTGCTGTATATTTTTATTATTCGTGTCTTTTTTATTGCTAAATTTAAGTAATGTTGTTAAGGATATTTTGTTTTTAAATTGAGATTACTAGTTTAACTTATTTGTTAACAAGAATAACGATCGACGTCTACGTAGAGCTGTCTTCATCATGCCTGCACGATGTTGCGTTCCAGCATGCAAATCCAATTACGATGGCACTAATGAATATGTATCAGTATTCAAATTTCCAAAAGATACAGTAAAACGGGATTTATGGATCAAAAAAATTCCAAGGAAAAATTTTATTTCAAGTGATCACAGCGTTGTGTGTGAAAAACATTTCGAAAAGATGATATTATTCGCTATGATTATTTACCAACAAACGAAGGTATTTTATTCAGATGTGTAGAGGGCATCCTAAATTAAATAACGATGCTTACCAATGCATTTTTTTCTGATTGTCCAAAATACTTATCTGAAAGTCCAACTCCTCAGAGGATGAGCAGGGAGGAAAAAAGAGCTAAGATGGAGAAGCATATTTTTAATGAATTTTTGAGAAAGGACAAAATAGCATCATTTGAGGATTTTTCTTCTATGTTACCAAATAAATTAAATATTTCAGATACGTCAAATATTATTTTGCACAAATCTGTTGCTGGTATTTATATTTTATTGCTCAGTTTTCATCCATATCCTAAAATTGAAAAGAGTATCTTTGTATCGCTTCATATAGATATAGCAGTTTATCTAGGAGATAAAAGTTGTTCCAGTTGAAAGTAAGAAGAACAGTAAAGAAGTTGAACAGCATTCTTTACTGGTCAAACTTACCGAGATATATGTAGAAAACATTAACATGTTTGATGTTCATGAAACATGTTTAATGTGTGCAATTCCCTTTTCTAGCAGATTTCAAAAAATAATGAGCACCATTTCAAATATTTGTTTGAACATTTATACTAAAGTTCTTCAAAATAATATGCATACAAAAATCGATGAAAGGAAACTTAAAAAAATCAAGAATACGTGATGAAAAGATATGAGCAGGGGCGTAGCTAGAGGGGGGCAAGGGGGGCATCTGTCCCCGGGCGCAGAATCCAAGGGGCGCCAAACTGATGTTACAAAATTTTAGAATTAAATGTTTTCCATCCTTGGCATGCAGTAGGGGGCGCGAAATCTTCAGCTGTCCCTGGACGCTGAAAACCCTAGCTACGACTCTGGATATGAGTATGTACATGACACTTTTATTTTTTAAAAATAGTGTACTAAATATGATGCAGTTCAAATATATTTTCAATAATGTATCTTTTACATTTAAATTTATTAATCCTTTTGCTGTTTCCTTATTATTTGATAATACTTCATAATTTTTCAAAAAAAATTATCAATTGCGATTAATTATTGCTTCAGTATACTAGTACAACTTGCACAGTATTTCCTAATTAGACAGAAATGATGGTTTGTTCTATGTATAGTTGTTTTGAGGTTTTCGTTGGCAAATTTATTGATTTTACGCTTTTATGAACATTATATGGATGGCTTTTATTTGCAATATATTATTTATTATGCATCTACATATAACTAATAATGTAAATATTATTAAATGATGTAAATATTCTTATAATTATTGCTATAGATAACATATAATATGTGTAAATTATTTTCCTGTAACGTTGCAGCAAAATTGTAATTTATTTAATTTACAAAGTTTTGAGATTTAAATTTTTTCTGTGGCTTTTCTGTTCATTTTATTAGATAGCCATTTAAATGAATTAAAAATACGTTTGCATAATGTTTGGAAGCTCTGAAATATTTATAGTTTTAAAGAAAAATTATTTTTTATATCTTTTAATTTGCTAAATTATATTTACTTTTGTTAGTAATTATTTATATTTCTAAATCTTTTCATTCCTTTCATTCTTATCCTTCTCAAACTGTAAAGACATTTTTATGTTAATAAATAACAGTCTTTTTATTGTACTTATTTCAAATACTTTCTTTTTTGAGTGTATCTTAACAATATTACAATACAGTGTAAAAAAATGCACAAGATAACCTAAACATGGCATAGAAAATTTCGTGAATATTTCTTAAAAAATAATATTTAAATTATTAATCTTAACTGCAAATGAATATCGACCTTTTATATACGTTTTCAAGTCTCTGGAAATTTAATTATTATGCATTATTAAAAACAAAACACTCTAAACATCGAACGAAACGCTCGCATTCAAATCTGAAGCAAAGAAAGTCACGGAAGAATCGGACGCCTTTC